TTTCTCCTGCTGTGTAAGTTTTTTGCTGCTGCTAATTACCATTTCATTTTCATTTGTTAAAAAATTTAAATTTGTACGCATCCTTTATGACTGTCTATTGTTGTCGTTGTTGTCCTGTTGTCATCACTCTGTTAAAATCCAGGTCTCTGTTATAAATAAGTCCCCGAGGCTCAATGGGATTAACCTGTATAAATAAAGGTTGAATGAATTCTCCATCCTCACCAAACTGGAGCATGTTCCCAACACCTGAAGGAAAAATCTGTCAAACAAGAACTTCATTCTTGACATTGCTGACATCTTTAACTTTTTCTCATCTTCTAAAGTAGATGAACAAACCCTCACCTTTAAAACATGATGAGCAGCAGGATGAGAACATGAATAAATGATATGTGAAAATAGAGGGGGGCTCATGCGTAAAGGATTTGGCCGTGTCATTTTTAAAAGGTTTAGCTCCATATGTCTGCGTGTGCTCACCTATACTTGCAAAGTCTGTCATCGCAATATATAGCTGAATTTTACGTATAAAGTGTGTACTTAATTTATTGTGTTGAAAAAATCTGCATAGGATTAAGTAAAATGTATAAAACACCGATTTCTAATATGTGTTTATTTTAATATCAAAGTGAGCATATGCAGCCAGTATGACTTAAAATGGTGATTTTCATCATCTAAAACAATCAACATGCTGCACCACTTCCTCATACCCTTTAAAACATCTCCCTCTGCTGTTACAAGAATAGATTACAGAAGCAGCAAACAGCAGATTTGTGGTCACTTCAAGTATATTTATGTTCCTCGTACAAGATACATCACTAGTTCGATAAATATAATGTTTTCATCACATTTTGTTGTGTGTTCGAGTGGATAATTTAGTTCTAATGTGACTTTATGTGTGCAGAAACTCAGATACAGTTAAATGAAGTTACTCATTTGAAGTTCTTCCTAAATATGTTTTAGAAAATACTAACATATTTATATATATATATATACTGTCAGGAAAGCAAGAAGCTAAATATTTGTTCATGTCAAATCTTTTGTAGATGTGACATGTGACATATAAATAATAAAAATGTACACATGAATTTCATTGACACAAGGATTTAACAAGTTGCTAAAGTTGCTGGTGAGTCCTGATTCAAAGTCTTGACGTCAACTCTTAAGTAAAAATTGATAACTAATGACGGGTGGGATTGAATAAGAACTGTATGCGCTTCTTCCCACTCGTTAAACAAAAAGTGGAGCAATAATCGTGCACCTTTTTATTTTATGTAGGTTTTTCTTTATCCTTTCGATTCTCTTTTCCTTGCTTAAAATAATTATTAGAGTCAGAGTTTCTTTCGTTGTCATTTGCACCACATGTGGTACATGTGGTGGAACGAGATTATGTACACAGGGTCCCAGTTACATCCAACAATAAAATGTAAAAGAAAAACAGTAATAAGATCTAAGATATGAACTAAGAAAAACATTAACTAAAAATACACTAAGCACTAACAGCATAAAAACAATACGCCAAACAGCAGCAATTATCTGTATATACTTGTAGTTAACATGTTCGAAATAAACCAAAATGTTGAACCAGTTTGTCTGTTAGCAAAATGTCTCATAAATTAATAAACATATTTTAAGTGGAATTCTCACAAAGTACTCATTAAAGTGCATTAGCTGTTCATATCAACCCAAGTTCCAGTTTATCTCAGTGGGATTTGCCTTGTTGAATACTGTTAAATAAAATAGATAAAAACTGTTTAAAACTCGGCTATGAAACGTGGAATGCTGGTTTTTAATTGTGAGTACGGCATTGACTTGAACAGAACTTTGCGTGTTCTGCTACTACACACACACTCACCCTGTGACTACACTTGTTACTGACTGAAATATTTCAGCAAGAGACAAAAGTCAAATGTTTCCTTTAAAGATCAACAATTTTATAGATAATACTAATTTTGGAAGTAATCACCTCAGACTTGGCTTGAAAAGGTTTGTGTGGAAAGAGCTACAATGCAAATAGGGTTTATATAGATGTGCAAATATGATGGAAGTTTTTGAGATGAGTGTTTTTCTAGACTTTGAACTGAACAAGGAATGCAAATAAACCTTACTGTAAGTTTTTTGGTGCAAGATAAAGTGGGTGGGAGTTACAATGTGTGTAAGAAGAGAGGTCGTTTTTTTTAATTATTATTATTGAGGCGGTGCAGAGTCCTAGATCTTGGTTAGTGAAGGGAGCAGTTTTATCCACCACCAGGAGCAATGGTGGAGCCAGTGCGTGGTCACCATAGATTATCTTCAGCTACGACCATCATTTGAGGAAACTATACTGTTAAGTGTCCTGATGCATGCTCAATAATCCAGGTAGAGAACTGTAACAGGTTAAGTCTGGTCCTCTGGATGGATTCCGGTATATGTATTAAGTAATATAAAAACTACAAAGGGGTGACCAATTTATACATTACATTACATTACATACATTACATACATTACATACATACATACATACATACATACATACATACATACATACATACATACATACATACATACATACATACATACATACATACATACATACATACATACATACATACATACATACATACATACATACATACATACATACATACATACATACATACATACATACATACATACATACATACATACATACATACATACATA